CGATGTCTTCAGCTGGGTGATCCGAAGAGAGTTCCAGGAGTTGCATCACCTGGTGGACGAGGAGAAAGCCCGCTGCCTGGAGGGGGTAGAGAGTCACACGCGTGGTCTGGTGGCCTCCCTGGACATGCAGCTGGAGCAGGCTCAGGGGACTCAGGAGCGGCTGACCCAGGCTGAGCAGGCTCTGGAGCAGTTCGGGAATGACAGCCACCATGAGTTCATCCGGGTGAGTGGGCAAGAGTTCGGTCCCGGCTCTCCCCTTAACAATGCGGCTTGGACACAGCAGTAACCCCCTGTCCTTCTCTTTCTTCCAGAGGTTCTACTCCACGGTCTCCAGGTAACAACCTCAACCTAAGCTGCCGGGAGAGGTCAGCCAGTGTCTCCGTGTGAGCTAACCCTAAGCTGTGCCCCGTGCGGCTGTCAGCCAAGTGCCCGCCTTCAGGGTTCTCACAGAGTAGTCATATAGAGGAAAAACCGGCCGTCCCGTGGTAGCTGTGGAAACACTGGAGGCAGTGACGGTGGTAGCTATGGAAACACTGGAGGCAGTGACGGTGGTAGCTATGGAAACACTGGAGGCAGTGACGGTGGTAGCTATGGAAACACTGGAGGCGGTGACGGTGGTAGCTATGGAAACACTGGAGGCGGTGACGGCCGGGGTAGAGGCACACAGGTGTGGCAGCAGACAAGTCTGCGCTGTGCAGGCAGGCAGGGTGGAAGCCATCGTGAGAGATGGGGTAAGCGGTGTGCAGACCGCAGGGCGTGATAAAACTCAGTGTGGCTGTGCAGTCAACTGCTGTGTGTGAGGAAGGGGAGATGAGCCAGGCAGGCAAACCCAGAATGGGGGCCCCTGAGGTGTGCTCTTTGGGCCTCGAGGAAGGAGTGAGTCCATGTCAGTGCTGGGGATCTCATACCTGCCACCCCTCTCCGGCCCTGCTGGTGGACGGCTCCCTGTTTTCTTTTTAAATTCTTGTTCTATGTGCATGGGTGTTCTGCACCCATGTACGTCTGTGCGAAGCGCCCACAAGAGCTATGAGCACTGGAGTCGCTGGAACAGACACCGCAGGCAGCTGTGAGCTGCCCTGTGGGTGCCATTCCGTGGGTCTGAGGCATTGAGGCCCTGCCACGCCAGCACTCAGTCACTCGAGACCTCATCTGTGCTTTGCACGTTCCTCAGGCCTTCCTGCGCGCCCCGCAGGCCCAATTCTAGGAAGCAGGCACGTTCTCCAGGAGGAGGCGTGAGGGGAGGGGTGGTGTCACCCATGCGCGGCCCGAGCGAGCGCCCCTGTGACCCTGCAGCTTGGAAAGGGGGCGGGAGACAGCCTTGACCTAGAGCTCCCCGCACTGGCACTCACGCACACAGGGCAGAGGCGCAGCAGGCCCGGCCTTGGGACGGCGCATTCAGCCCGATCTCCTTCAAACCCGGGCTCCACCAGGCCGACATCAAACTGACGGTGTGGAAGAGACTCTTCCGGAAAGTTCTGCCAGGTGAGGCTTCGGGTTGTTATCCTTCCAGTTCGTGATGGCACCAAGAGGCACACAGAGAACCTGAAGGAAGGCTGCATGGGGTAGCGGGGGGTGCGGTCACATGGATAGTGAGGGTGTGGTCACAGGGGTAGTGGGTGTGGTCACAGGGGTAGTGAGGGTGTGGTCACAGGGGTAGTGGGGTGTGGTCACATGGGGAGCGGGGTGTGGTCACAGGGGTAGTGAGGGTGTGGTCACATGGGTGGTGAGGGTGTGGTCACATGGGGTAGTGAAGGTGTGGTCACAGGGGTAGTGGGTGTGGTCACAGGGGTAGTGAGGGTGTGGTCACAGGGGTAGCGGGGGTGTGGTCACAGGGGTAGTGAGGGTGTGATCACAGGGGTAGTGGGGTGTGGTCACATGGGGAGCGGGGTGTGGTCACAGGGGTAGTGAGGGTGTGGTCACATGGGTGGTGAGGGTGTGGTCACATGGGGTAGTGAAGGTGTGGTCACAGGGGTAGTGAGGGTGTGGTCACAGGGGTAGTGAGGGTGTGGTCACAGGGGTAGTGGGGTGTGGTTACAGGGGTAGCGAGGGTGTGGTCACAGGGGTAGCGGGGGTGTGGTCACATGGGTAGTGTCACATGGGTAGTGAGGGTGTGGTCACAGGGGTAGTGGGTGGGGTCACATGGGGAGTGGGTGTGGTCACATGGGGAGTGGGGTGTGGTCACGTGGGGTAGTGGGTGTGGTCACATGGGTAGTGGGGTGTGGTCACATGGGGTAGCGGGGGGTGTGGTCACATGGGGTAGTGAGGGTGTGGTCACGGGGGAGTGGGTGTGGTCACATGGGGAGGGGGTGTAGTCACAGGGGTAGTGGGTGTGGTCACATGGGGAGCGGGGTGTGGTCACATGGAGAGTGGGGTGTGGTCACATGGGGTAGCAGGGGTGTGGTCACATGGGGTAGCAGGGTGTGGTCACATGGGTAGTGGGGTGTGGTCACAGGGGTAGTGAGGTGTGGTCACAGGGGTAGTGGGGTGTGGTCACATGGGTGGTGGGGTGTGGTCACAGGGGTAGTGGGGTGTGGTCACATGGGGAGTGAGGTGTGGTCACATGGGTGGTGGGGTGTGGTCACAGGGGTAGTGGGTGTGGTCACATGGGTGGTGGGGTGTGGTCACATGGGTAGTGGGTGTGGTCACGTGGAGTAGTGGGTGTGGTCACGTGGGGGAGTGGGTGTGGTCACGTGGGGAGTGGGTGTGGTCACGTGGAGTCGTGGGTGTGGTCACGTGGGGAGTGGGTGTGGTCACGTGGGGGAGTGGGTGTGGTCACGTGGAGTAGTGGGTGTGGTCACGTGGGGAGTGGGTGTGGTCACGTGGGGAGTGGGTGTGGGATGGTCGCGCACACACACTTGCGGAAGCCGTCGGGTGCACACCCCTCCCTCCGCTGAGCTCCTCTGGCCCTGTGTGTGGTCTCGGGCGTGGTCCATCCCCTCCCCCACCGCAGCGCATCCACGCCTTCGTCCATCCGCTTCACCCGCGCAGCCAGCCCTGCGCCTGCGCCTTCCAGGTCCCGGGACACCGCTCCGCTGCGACCTAACGCAGGCCTCTTCTCCTTCCAGCCCCAGAGTCTCTCAAGCTGGACCCGGCTACTGCGCACCCTCTCCTGGAGCTCTCGAAGGGCAACACAGTGGTGCAGTGTGGCCTGCTTGCCCAGAGGCGGGCCAGCCAGCCCGAGCGCTTCGACTACAGCACCTGTGTCCTGGCCAGCAAGGGCTTCTCTTGGGGCCGCCACTACTGGGAGGTGGTGGTGGGCAGCAAGAGTGACTGGCGCCTGGGGGTCATCAAGGGCACAGCCAGCCGCAAGGGCAAGCTGAGCAAGTCCCCGGAGCACGGGGTGTGGCTGATCGGCCTCAAGGAGGGCCGGGTGTATGAGGCTTTCGGCTGCCCGCGGCTGCCCCTGCCCGTGGCTGGCCACCCCCACCGCATCGGGGTCTACTTACACTATGAGCAGGGTGAACTGACGTTCTTCGATGCCGACCGCCCCGACGACCTGCGCACACTCTACACCTTCCAGGCTGACTTCCAGGGCAAGCTGTACCCCATCCTGGACACCTGTTGGCACGAGAGGGGCAGCAACTCGCTGCCCATGGTACTGCCCCCACCCAGTGGGCCTGCCCACCTCACGCCCGCACAGCCGTAGGCTGCCCCGGTGCTGTCTGCTCCTTGGCGCATCCTGCTAGACACGGGAATTTGAGCAGCGCCGCTGGCCTAAAAGACGACGTTGGATTGCCTGAGAAGTTTCTTCACACCCGCACGTCCCTGGAACGTTCAGAGCAGGGAATACAGCCCCTTTCCCAACACCTAGGGGCATGTGTGTTACCTTCCCAGGTCCTGTGTCCACTCAACCTACTGAGCAGCCCTGTGCCTGCCAACTCTTCCAGCAGAGGGCAGAAACATTCCCACACAAACTTAATCCGCATCATTGGGACCTTCAAACATCAATTAAAAACAATAAACTTGACAGTCTCCTCATTAATACCATTTTCAGTATTTTTGCTTTAGCTAGGTGTATGTTGGTGGGTGATGTGCCTACAGAGGTCAGACGTTACAGGATCCCCTGGAGCCGGGTTACATAAGGCTGTGAGCTACCTAACATTTACATGAGGCTGTGGGCTACCTAACAGGGTCTGGGAACAGCATGTGCTCTTAACGGCTTAGCGCAAGAGTCTCATGTCCCAGGCTGAGCTATTTAGTACAGGCGTGCGCCATTATGCCTGGTTTAGTCAGTGCTGAGAGTGGAATCCCAGAGGCCCACATCTACTAGGTGGGTGTTCGACTACTTAACCACATCTCCAACCCCACATTAATGGATTTAAGGACGGGTGATCTGAGCCACACCCCAGCCCCTCACTCGGGGATTCTAGGCAGTGCATTGATCAATGAGCCTTTCATCTCATCATCAGAGAAGGCTGAGGCAAGACTGCCAGGTGTTCCAGGCAAGTGTGGGGTACATTCTGAATTCCAGAGTAAGTCACGGTCTTAAAAAAACACAACGGGCCGGGCGTTGGTGGCGCACGCCTTTAATCCCAGCAGGAGGGAGGCAGAGGCAGGAGGATCTCTGTGAGTTCAAGGCCAGCCTGGTCTACAAAGTGAGTTCCAGGACAGCCTCCAAAGCAATACAGAGAAACCCTGTCTCGAAAAACCAAAACAAACAAACCAAAAAATCCTATAAAGTAACTACACGGAGTTAGGTAAAATTGCCTTCTTTTTTCTTTCTTTTTTTGTATTTTGAGACAAGGTCTCACTATGTAACCTTGGCTGTCCTGGAACTATGCAGACCCAACTGGCCTCAAACTCGCACAGATCTCTCCCGACCGCCTCAGTCTCCAGAGCGCTGGATTAAAGGCGTGCGCCACCATGCCCGGTTTTAGAACTACTTTCTATACGCTGGAAACGGAAAGCAGCCAGCTTTCTGGGAGGCTAGTGAAGGCTCGCGCCTTTCGATTCCGGAAGCCCGGCCGGGCCGGATGTTGCAGCGGCCGCAAAGCCGGGTCGAGCTCCTGCGACAGTGCCGTAAAGAGTCGGTCGGTCGGCGCGGCAGCATGGGGCTGTACACGGCGGCGGCGGCGGTGCTGGCGGGCGTGGAGAGCCGCCAGGGCTCGCTCAAGGCGCTGGTGTATTCCAGCAGCTTCCAGGTAGTGGGGCCGGGGGCCGGGGCCGGGTGGGAGCGGGGTTGGGGGGCGAGGCCCGCGCTGGCTGCAGCGAGCGTGTCTCCCGCAGAACGTGAAGCCGCTGTACGCGCTGGTGTGCGAGACGCAGCGCTACTCGGCCGTGCTGGACGCCGTGATCGCCAACGCCGGGCTCCTTCGCGCCGAGAAGAAGCTGCGGCCGCACCTGGCCAAGGTGAGCGAGCGCCCACGGCGGGCGGAGCCTGTGCTCAGCTCTGCACCTCTTCCCTGCATCCGCATCGAGCCGGAACGGACGCGACGGCGTGTGGGGCATTGCGTGAAGGGTTAGCTAGGGCAGAGCCCCAAACCGGCGGTGGCAGGGGCAGCCGACCGGAAAGGGTGACGATGGCAAGGAAGGTTGGGGGTCCAGAGTGCTGCTGAGCAGGTGGTGGCTGCCTGGGGAAAAGGCGCAGGCATGGGAGGCAGGACACTGGGTTTCAGTACTGAATCTGCTTTCTGTCTGCCTTTTTGTGACGCTGGAGATTGTACCAGCTTGCCAGAGAAGAATTCTACCACTGAGCCATACCCCCCTGTCCCTCACTGGGGAGTTCTAGGCAGGTGCTCTACCACTGAGCCACGCCCCAGCCCCTCACTGGGGGATTCTAGGCAGGGGCTTAATGCTAAGCTATACTCCTATTGTTTCTCCAAGCAAGCTCTCTACCCTGCTCCTGAGCCTTGCTCCTAGTCTCTTCAATGGTGGATGCTAGGCAGGCCTCATTCACATGCCCGTGACCCTTTACTGGGAGATTCTAGGCAGGGTCTACTGAACTATGTCCCCAGCCCTTGTTTTTTGAGACAGGTTCTTGCTAAGTTGTTCAGACAGGTCTTAAATTGGTGACGCAGGGTGGTTTTCAGTTCGTAGTGTTCATGCTTAAGTGTATGAGATTGCAGGGGTTATAGGCGTTTGCCCCCATACCTGGTCATTAATTTCTTGGGTGATCTTGGGCAAGAAAATCCCCTGGACAAGACCATCTGGAGGGTTTTATGATGTTAATGGTTTTTCCGTTTTTCTCTGTCCAGGTGCTAGTGTATGAATTGTTGCTAGGGAAGGGTTTTCGAGGGGGTGGTGGTCGATGGAAGACCCTGCTTGGCCGGCACCAGGCGAGACTCAAGGCTGAGTTGGCCCGGCTCAAGGTTCATCGGGGTGTGAGTCGAAATGAGGACCTGTTGGAAGAGAGAGCCAGACCTGGCCAAGGTGAACTGGAGACTGGGGGAGGGTGACAGCCTTCAGGGGGGGCTAGCCTTCCTTCCTACTCATCGCTGCGGCTTCTAGCCTACCAGGTGCCTCGGTTTGTGCGTGTGAACACGCTCAAGACCTGCCCTGAGGATGCAATCGATTACTTCAAGAGACAAGGTTTCTCCTACCAGGGTCGGGCTTCCAGGTGAGAACGTAGGACCTGCCTGGGTGCCTTTATGTCCTGAATGTCCAGGTTCCTGGGGAAGCAGGGGTCTGTGGGAAGAGACTAGGGATAGTGACTGCTTTCTTTAGATGTTTTTTTTTTTCCTACTTTCCCAATGAGATTTTCTCTCTTCTGACAAAGATGTTACCTTTGCTTTTTGTTTTTGTTTTTTGGTTTTTTGGTTTTTTTTTTTTTTTTTGAGGCAGGGTTTCTCCGAGGCTTTTGAAGGCTGTCCTGGAACTAACTCTTGTAGACCAGGCTGGCCTCGAACTCACAGAGATCCACCTGCCTCTGCCTCCCGAGTGCTGGGATTAAAGGCGTGTGCCACCAATGCCCGGCCGTTACCTTTGTTTTAAATGATGAATAGTATAGGTGTCTATGTGTGGGTGTGTGCGTGTGCCCAAAGAGGCACCCTCTTTGGACCCTCTGCAGCTGGGCCTGCAGGCAGGTGAGCTGCTGCACATGGTGCTGGGAACCGAACTCAGGTCTTCTGAAAGAGCAGTGTGTTCCCAACTGCTGAGCCATCTGTCCAGGCCCAATTTTAATCACTTTAATTATCATTGTTGTGTGTGATGTGTGAGAGTACGCAGAAAACAAACTTGCACAAGTGGGTTCTCTTTGCACCTCTGTGGGGTTCCAGGGATTGTCTCAGGTCTGCACAAGCGTTTCACCTGGTGAACCAGCCCTTGCAACCCCTCTTAGAGGCAGGGCTTGATGACATATACTTGTTATCCCAGTACCAGGGAGGTTGAGATGGGATAGAGTTCCAGATCCTGTCTCAACAAGCACGGCTGGTTCAGCTGCTCTTGCAAATGACCCAAGTTCAGTTCCTAGCACCCATGCTGGGTGGGTGACTTTCAGCTTCAGTTCAGGGGGCTCTGATGGCTCTCAGAGTATCTGCACTCACATGCCCATACCTAAGCGTAGCTACATAATTTAAAATAAGTCTTTGTTTAAAAGTGAAAAGCCAGGGTGATGGTTCAGTGGTTAAGGGTGTGACTACTCTTTTAGAGGACCAGTTTGATTCTAGAACCCATGTGGTAGTCACTACCGTCTGCAACTCCAGTCCTAGAGAATCCGATGCCCTTTGGTTCTCACGGGTGCTGTATGCAGACAGAATACCCCAAGCACGTAAAATAAAGGTTAAAGACAAAGCCTAACCAGCGGTTGTTCCCTGCCAGCCTGGAGGACTTGCGAACCCTCAAGGGGCAACATTTCCTTTTGGACCCCTTGTTGCCTGAGCTTCTGGTGTTCCCTGCACAGACAGATCTGCATGAACACCCGCTGTACCGCGCTGGCCATCTCATCCTGCAGGACAAGGTGGGGGCGGGGCAGGAGAAAGGGGGTGGGGGAGAATGACTTCCGGCTCTGTGTTCACCCGGCCACCCGCCATTTCTGCCCTGCTAGGCCAGCTGCCTCCCAGCCATGCTGCTGTCTCCCCCACCAGGTTCCCATGTCATTGATGCCTGTGCTGCCCCTGGCAACAAGACCAGTTACATTGCCGCGCTTCTGAAGAACCAGGGGTGAGTGCTAGCAATGAGCTTTGAGGCAGAGGGAGGGATGTTGGAAAAATCTCACTGAATGATAACGCTTGAGAGTATGGCCCTGGGCAACTCAGCCTAGTTCCAAGCCAAGCTACTGGTATGAGACAAAACTCCCTCAGGCTTGGGGTTCTTTCCAGGCTGGTTATCTGTGCACCCTGTAAGCCACTAATATGTGTTGTATCTTAGCTTTTCCTTTTGTTTTGGGTGGTAGTGTATTGGGGATTGAATCCCCAAAGCCTTATATATGCTAGGCAAGCACTGTACCACTGAGCCACACCCCCAGCCCCTCACTGGGGGATTCTAGGCAGGTGCTCTACCACTGAGCCACACCCCAGCCCCTCACTGGGGGATTCTAGGCAGGGGCTCTACCACTGAGTCACACCCCAGCCCCTCACTGGGGGATTCTAGGCAGGGGCTCTACCATTGAGCCACACCCCAGCCCCTCACTGGGGAATTCTAGGCAGGTGCTCTACCATTGAGCCACACCCCTAGACCTGTGTCCTGGCTTAGTTTATGTAACAGCTTGATGTTACCTAACTGTGGGGCTCCATGCTCCATAAATTCTCAGTTCAGGAGCTGGCAAAATGACTCCGTGTCCACTGGCTGCTGTCCCTGAGGACCTGAGTTCAGTTCCCAGCCCTCACGTCAGGTGGCTCACAACTTAACTCCAACTCCCTGGGTTCCATCACTCTTCTTGGCCTCCACACGCACCTGCACACATGTGACATATATATTGTTTTTTAAAGATTTATTTTATCGGGGGAGGGTCTAGACCCTGCTCCAAATGATGTGACAGACTTTGATGAAGATCCCCCATGGAAGGCCTCACCCTCCCTGGGGAGCAGAAAGGGGATGGGATAGGGGGTCGGTGGCGGGCAGGGAGAGGAAACTGGGATTGACATGTACAACAAGCTTGTTTCTAATTTAAATTTAAATTTTAAAAAAAGGAAAAGGTTTATTTTATGTATATAGTGCTCTATCTGCACATACACCTGCAGGCCAGCAGAGGGCATCAGATCCCATTATAGATGGCTGTGAGCCTCCACTCAGGACCTCTGGAGGAGCTGCCAGTGATCTTAACTGCTGAGCCATCTCTCTGACCCCATAGAAGTTTTAATTTAAAAGAAATTCTCAGTTCATTCTGCCTCTGCTCTCTTCCCTAGGAAGATCTTTGCTTTCGACCAGGATGCTAAGCGACTAGCAGCCATGGCTACCCTGCTGGCTCGAGCTGGGGTCTCTTGCTGCGAGTTAGCAGAAGAGGACTTCCTGGCAGTCTCTCCCTCCGACCAGCGGTACAGCCGGGTCCAGTACATCTTGCTGGACCCTTCTTGTAGTGGCTCTGGTGAGAGGGGACAGTGTGGCTGCAGTCTGAGCCCCACAGCAACTTGGATACTAAAGTTAATCTTGGTATAACTTCTGAGTGGTGGCAGTAGGCAAATGCTCATGTGTACGGTGGGGATTTTGGTGGGAAATGGCTTCACAATTGCAGCTCCTTCTGCATAGGTATGCTGAGCCGGCAGCTGGAGGAGCATGGGGGAGGCACACCCAGCAAGGAGCGCCTGCAGGCCCTGGCAGGCTTCCAGCAACGGGCTCTGTGCCATGCACTGAGCTTCCCCTCTCTGCAACGCCTGGTCTACTCCACGTGTTCCCTTTGCCAAGAAGAGAATGAAGACGTGGTCCAAGAAGCTCTACAGCAGAGCTCGGGGGTCTTCAGGTAGTGGTGTCCCCAGGGTCTGAAAGAGCTCACAGGTTACTTCTCACCAGGGTCTGAGTTCTCTTGTCCTCCACAGATTGGCTCCAGTCCTACCCACGTGGCCTCACCGAGGTCTCAGTACCTTCCCAGGGTCTGAACACTGCCTCCGGGCCTCCCCTGAGACCACGCTCACTGGTGGCTTCTTCATTGCTGTGTTTGAACGGGCAGAGGCGGTGCCAGGGTGAGTAAGGAGAGCAGAGTTCTCGACTGCGACCTTGGCTGGCCCGAAACTCACTCACTGTAGGTGGACGAGGCTTTGCCTCCTGAGTGCTACAGCTAAAGGTACGTCCGTCCATCACTACCCTCTGGCCTGTTCTTCCAGCCCAGCTCCACAGGACAAAGCAGAGGCTCCAGAGCCTCTCAGCAAAGCCCCAAAGAGAAAGAGAAGACGCAAAGCTGCAGCTGGTACCAGCACACAGCCGAGCACGTAGCGGGCGCCGTGGGCCCTGCAGCCAGCAAAGGCTTCCTCACTGCGCGAACCCTGCTCTCTGGGAAGGGCAGAAGCCTGGCCCTGTGGGTCCCTCACTGGCAGGTCTATCTACCACTTGAGTTCTTTGCTTCACAAATAAAGGGCAGACTCGGTCTATGACAGATCACAGTTTTATTTTTAATGACATAAGCAAGAACAATCTCACATTCATACTAAAATCTCAGCTACACTCACAGGAACTCAGTCTATCTGTAGTGGAAGCCCCAACCTCCCTGTCCCTGTCCAGCGTGAGCACAGACAAATGTGCCACACACCGAGGCTATGCCAGGACGCCTCTTCAGGGCCCTGGATGCAGGCCTGCTGTGGAGTTGAGGTAATTAATTAGCTCATACTGAGTTCAGGGAGGCCCCTTCCTTACCTGAGGCACAGGTAGAGGCACCTGTGCAGACCCCCACCTATCCCCATCCCACAGGCTCTCCCCATCTCCATACAACCCAGCCTAACCCTTGCCAGTCAGTCACAAAGGGAAGGGACCAGTTACAGCTACATCACATTGTTTATAAAGTAAGACTCACACTTATACGACATGGCCAGAAGGAGCTCTACCCCGTCAGCAGAGAGCTGCTGGGGACAGCCCATGAGCCCCTCCTTCACACAGGCATAACTATACAGCTAAATCCTACTATTCAATAGCATTTATACTTAACCACCTCAGTGAACCAAGCTTGAAGGAATTTAAAAGGCAATTTAGCTTAAATATAAAAATAAATTTTTATTTTGTTAAAAAACGTTTAAATATTGTTTTTCTTTTAATTTAGACACACGCATTCATACTTCTCCCAAAGAGGATGGGCATGGCAGCCAAGCTCTGGGGCCTAAGAGTATGGTTTTGGGAAAGGAAAAAGAAAGGCTAGGAAAGACCCTTTTGGGAACACAACTAAGGAACCTAAAAGTGTAGTCCATTAACCCACAACTCCACACAGGCAGACGCCGCCCTTGCCGGGGCTGTGTTCTGTGGGGAGGACAACAGAGGGAAGTCTTTGCTCCCACAAGCTCTACCCCTGGGCTGCCAGCCCTTAAGTCAAACACTATTGAGAATTCAGGGGCCAGCACTGTGGCTGTCACGCGGTGCCACTTTCAGCATTCAATGAGCTAGGCCTGAGAGGGCCCAGGTGACATTAAGTCCGGCATTACGAACATGCCGCCACACATACGATTCAATTCTTCCTCCAAACTCGATTCAAGGAGCAACACACATTAACATCATACAAACACAGTACAAGGCTTGGAAAGTACAATCCCGAAGAGGCGAAGTGGCCCGTGGGGTGTCGGGCAGGTGAAGAGGCAGCTAGAAGCAGTGGTGGGCAGTTCGCCTGCCCCAGGACTTCCTGGAGCAAACTTCTCCCCTGGCTCTGCCAGGCTAAGTCCTGAGCCACCAGCCTTCAGAGGCTGGACTGGCAGAGGGCTGGAGATAAACACACTTGGCAGAAGAGGCAAGCAGCACCCACTGGGGTCTCCAAGGCAAAGCAAGATTCCCCGCCATTTAAAAGGAATGAATCTCAAAGAGGACAGACAGGTGAAAGTCAAAGCAGCAAGAAATGAGGGGACCCCGGAGGAACCAGAGGAAGAGACCATGTCTTATGGCCAAGCCGAGCAGACAGAGCTCAGGGACACTGTTCCCCCAATCCTACACAATGTGTACTAGGGATCCAAGTGGGTACCATGCCCGTTAGCAGAGATGGCTCAGGGAAAGGGGGAGCCGCCTAGGCCACAAACTACACAAGCGCCGGGGCAGCAAGGACAGTATGTACACGCTTCTTCAGTTCTCCAGCCTCACCAGGTGACTGTTCACGCCAAGTATCGGCTTCTGCCCCTCCCTGGGGCACCCACTTTCTCTAGAACAGAAGGGCCAGGCTGCCACTTCTGCCCCGGTGACGGGCTGGGTGTGCTGTGGAATCCGAAGGGTCAGAGGCTCGCTCTTCCCAGCAGGTGCTGAGGTCCAGACTCGGGCAGGAGTGGGGACTGGGGACGAGGCAGGCTGCTACTTCTTGCGGGTATGCTGCCTTCGGGCCTGAAGTCGCTGTCGAGCCCCTGGCGTCTTGGATCCCGCGCCAATGGAAAATGAAGGGGCTGCTGATCCTGGAAAAAGTTGACAAGACCTCATCAGGGCAGTTACTGCCACAGAAAATGTACCTGGTGCCTTGCTCTGGGAAGTTAGGTCAAACGAAGAAGCAGAGATGTTCTGCCGGGGCTTCCAAAGCTGTTGGCAGCCCTCTTAGCCCTTGGTGGGAACCGATCATAAACATGCAGGAAAAATACCAACACAAAAATAAGCCAAACCAAATAAACACACACCAGCACTTGGCTTTCCAAATACGTGAGTTTCCTGAGAAGGCTCAACTCTCCCGTGCAACTCCCCTTGACCCTGAGGGCCAGCATCTGCTATCACATAATCACTCCTCATCCAAGGGACAGGGTGTGTCATGCTGGCAACAGACTGCTTGCTTACCGAAAGGTCCGACTCCAACAAAGCCTTGGGCAGGCGTTGAGGAAGCCCCAAACGAGAGGCTGCTGCCTGCGGTGCCTACTCCAGGGGCAGGGGTGCTCTGCCCAAAAGTGGGTGTGGACGTGCCTAGAAGGGAGAGATTAAAAGCTGCAGAGACTGGGCTACCCCTCAGCACTTGGCTGGCCTCCACCCTGCCCTGCACACCTGCAGCAGGAGGCGTGGCACTGTCAGGATTACCTGCCTCCCCACCTTCCCTCTCTTACCTTGAAGGGTCCCTAACCCTCCCAGGATGCCCTGAGAATGACTCCTGCTCTGCCTGTATGCAATTATCTCAGGGCAGTCTTGTTGCGATGTCGCTTCCAGACCATTTGTCACCCCTCCTACCTCAAACACCCAATTCTTTTGTTTTGCTATTTTTGAGACCGGGTCTGCTATGTAGCCCAAGTTGGCCTGAAACTCTCCAACCTCCTGTCCGAGCCGAAGTACTGGAGTAGCAGGCATTGTCCTGTCGTTGCATGTCACCTGTCAATCATTTCTTTTCCCCCACCCCCACAAAGGACCCTGAACTACCCTCCCCATCACCATTCTTAAGTGACTTCGCCCCTAGCGAGAAAGACTCATGATCCTTTGGTGCCACCAACAGCCACACAAACGGAGATCTCCCTGTGTGTGGCTGTCGTGTGGGTGTGTGTGTACCAGGGTACTATTCTTTCTGGGAGTGTACACAAGCCAGAGGTTGACACTGGGCGTCTTCCAGAGTCTCTCATCAGTCTGGAGCTGGCTATTTTGACTTGACTGGCCAACAAGTTCATGCACTCAGCACTGGGATTACAGGTACACACTGCCTCACCTTGCTATCGAGTACTGGGGATTGAACTCAGATCCTCACACTCAAGTGGCAGGTACTTTGACTACTGAGCCATCTCCCCGGCCCTGTCACGGGCTTATTCCAGAGGCTGCTTGAACTTCTGCACACTGCGGGAACTCAAAACGTTCCCACCCATGAACAAGCCACGTGGCAAACTGTACACTTTCTCTGATCATATCCCTTTTCTCACCACTGTTCCGGACACTCAACAGACCTGCCTCTCACCTCCCCAAGAGTCCTTTCTCCCTTATGTACCTCTGAAGGCCAAAACTCACCCTGCACGTATCAAACAAGAATCTCTTCATCCTTCAGCTTGAAATCCTATTGTGACTCCCCTGGTTATTTAAAATCCAAACAATGAACCCTGGCTATGACCTGGCATTATGATGTTTGTTTAATGGGAGAGAGATCAATGGTTCCAGAGAACCCAGGTTCAATTCCCAGCACAAAAATGGCAGCTCTCAAGTCCCACCCTCTTCTGGCTGCTGTGGGCACCAGCATGTATATGGTACCACCTATATACACATATGTTTCTTTTTTTTTTTTTTTTTGGTTTTTCGAGACAGGGTTTCTCTGCATTGTTTTGGAAGCTGTCCTGGAACTCGCTCTATAGACCAGGCTGGTCTCATACTTACAGAGATCCGCCTGCCTCTGCCTCCCGAGTGCTGGGGTTAAAGGCGTGCGCCACCAATGCCCGGCTCGTGTCTTTTTTTTTTTTTGGTTTTTTGAGACAGGGTTTCTCTGTAGCTTTGAAGGCTGTCCTGGAACTCACTCTGTAGACCAGGCTGGCCTCGAACTCACAGAGATCCGCCTGCCTCTGCCTCCCGAGTGCTGGGATTAAAGGCGTGCGCCACCACCGCCCGGCTCGTGTCTTTTTTTAAAGGGGTATGTAGGTATGTGCACAAGCACAGCGTACTGGGGACCGGAAAGCGGCGTCAGATTCCTGGAACTACAGCTCCAGGCAGCTGACGGCCCCTGGAGAGGGTGCTGCAGCTTTGCTTGGGTCCTCTTTCAGAACAGGTCTTGGCCACCCCAGCCCTCCAGAATCCTTACCTCCAAACACAGGCTTGCTTTCAGGCGTACTGCCCACATTGAAGGCGAAGGGTGAGCTCTGGTTGGATGTGCCCAGGGTGTTCAGGCTTCCCCCAAAGGAGGTAGTGGCGCCTGTGGTCCCGCTCTGTCCAGATCCAAAGCTGAAAGTTCCAGAGGAGGAGCTGGTGCCTGGAGCAGCACCAAGCCCAAAGCCTCCACTGCCAGAAGGAGCCGCTGAGCCACCAAATGTGAATGGGGATGGAGTAGAGCTGCCAAATAAAGAGCTGCTGCTCCCACTGTTGGTGGTCTGCGTGGTGGCTCCAAAGCCGGAGGTGGTGGCTGATCCAAAGGAGAACACAGATGTGGTGCTGCCGAAAGCTGGCTGCGTGCTGGCAGGGGTGCCAAAGGTAGAGGCTGCGGTTTTCAACCCGCCGAAAGCCGGTTGTGCAGCGCTGCCAAAGGTGGCTGGGGCCGGGGATGTCGACGGGGCTGAGGCCACAGAGTTGCCGAAAGTGAAAGAGCTGCCAAAACTTGGGGCAAGCGCTGGCTTGGCTGCCCCCTCAGTGGCTCCAAACTGAGGCTGTGGGTTGGCTGCAGGGTAAGTCGGGAGCGCGGGTTTGGCAGCAGAGCTGAAGGGAATGTTGAAGGCCGGGGTGACAGAGCCGCTGAAGGTCAGTGTGGGCTGGCTGGCGGTGGACGGGGCTGAGGTGGAGGTGGTGAGGGTGCCGCCAAAGCCACTGAAGCCACCAG